TAAGTAAACTCATATCCAGAAGCCCCAAAAATGAGGCAGTTGCCAGATAGCCAACTTCCAGAGACCATGTAAGGAACCCAGGTTCTCCTCAGGCCTCTGTGGGTTCCCTGAGCTTTTCTAATGTGGCCATGGGGGCATCGAATCCCTGCTCCCATGAGGATGATGTGACAAGATTCATACAATGATTTATTAATTTCCTAGGATTTTTTCCTCAATGTGTTTTAATGCAAGAAGCAGCTATTTAGCTATTAAATACACATTGTATTCATGTGTTACCAACATCTAGGTGACTGCTTCCAAGTTCCATCTGTGTGTTATATTTTGCGGAAAAAAAAAAAAAAGGTGTAGTTCTGAGACTTTTTAAAAAGCATTAAGATTTTTAAATGTTAGGTGCATAAAGATTAGTAATTCTCTGTTGTTGTCAGTTCTTTTTTTGTGGAAGTAAATGCAACTTTTCTAATTGATAGCTACGTGAAGTTTGCCTATGTTTTGTCAGTCTCTGAAAGGATAGCTTGTGTTTTATCAGAATAACCTAGTAGTTTAGTGACACTGTAATCCTAGTTTGTAAAATATATTAAAAAAAAAGACTAATGCTCAGGCTACCTTTCATATGCATAGCAAGACTATACTGTTTCTATACTGAAAATCTGTATGTAGCTTACAGTCTACGTAAACCTTTTAACAGAGAAGTGATATACATACTACATGTTAAACCTCAGTATTCCTTTCACCCACAGAACATGCAGCCCTTTGCATGCAGAACATTTTATATGTCTCTTTAAAGCTTCTTAATTTTAGGTACGATCACCCATTTCTTTTCCAGAAGATGCAGTGCAGAAGAAAACATGGATTCCTTTAAAGCAGAATTTGTTCCAAACCCAGAAGAAATGTGTTCTTTAGCTCAGGATGTGACAAGTATTTTTTGAGTGTGCAGCCAAAGGAGGATGGGAAAAAATCTGTTAACCTTGGACAGAAATTTTGACTGTCACTGTTGCAATTACTGTGCAGTATTTGTATGATTGTATAATAATTGGCTGATGCAAGTGTGAGAACTGAAATGACTTCCCTGATTTCCAAGCGTGATTCAGGAATCTTTCCCCCAGGGAGTAATCCTGCTTTACCTATACCTCACCAAGTAAACTTTTGCTCACATAAACAGCACCAACTGTCATCTTGATGACATTTGTTGAGTTCCATCTTGATTTCCTATTGGTTTTTCTTTATAAATCATGAAAAAATCAGTAGATACTTACTGATGCTACAGGGTGCTGGATCAGTAATGAAACTACATGAACTAATAAAAAATCTGCAATGATTATTTTTAAAAAGTAATACCCGAGAAGTTAATTTGGCATGTAAGAATTTGGCATGAAATACAGTGCAAAATTTCCCTTTACAGCACTCATACTCCTTTTACGTTGATCCAGTGAGGCATTATGCTAAATGACGTTTCAGAACACCCATGAGGACATTCCTTTCCAGGCCAGAAAGTAAATTTTAATGTTAGATAAAATTAAAGAGAACAGGGAAAGCATCTGGCCTAAGTAATTTGTTTGGGGCGTTGCTGCGGTTGAGTCAGCTGGCTGCCTTTCATCTCAACCTGCTGCATTCTCACTCATCTCCCCTTTGCCCCACCTTGTTTGCTTTTAATAAATTATTCTGGAACGCGGCGTAATATATTGAAATCGGTAAGGCGTATCACTAATAAACACGAACAATTATTCTCGCCGTCACTAGGATTTTCATTACCCCCTTCGCGTCCTGCCCCAGCCCTGACGAGCGCGCAATTAGGGCGTTAATTGGGGCGCCACACGCAGAGCGGCCGTTAAAGGCAAACGCCGACACTGCCAT